AACAACAAAAAACCCCACCGCTGTTTAAACCTGCTCTCACTGTGCTGTGCGACGAGAAAGCTGTCAACACTTTCAGGATAATTGAAGGCCTCTTGCGGTTTACAAATAGTTTGGCAACTGGGAATCGTGACAGCACCGCGCACTGTGTGATGTTAATGTGTTTAGCGTGATGGCGCCCTGCATGGGGGACTGGCCGTCTGTAATGACAGTGATGGGCTTTGTCAAACACGGCCGAGCTGCAGGGCAGTGGACAGGAGTTGTTTCACTTACAATGACACTAATTTTTGAAGACATGTGAGGTTTCTCTCTTCTAATAATTTTCTTGTGAGGGACAAGTATGTTATCGAGGATTAGACTATGAAGTGCTCGCTTTTTATGACATGAAGCATACTTTAGTGGTGGAAGGAAATTTGTTTTATGCCAGATTATATTTTACTAGAGGCCCAGTGCACGAATTTGTGCACTGGTGAGGTCCCTTGGTCTGCCAGCGATCGGGACCAATGGAGGGGAGAGAGGGGCTGGCCGGCTGGGGGGAGGGACCACAGAAGGTTGGCCGGCTGGGGGAGGGACCACGGTAGGTTGGCCGGCTGGGGGAGGGACCACGGGAGGTTGGCTGGCCATGGGAGGTTGGCTGTGGGAGCGTACTGATCGACCAGTTGTTCGGTCACTTAGGCTTTTATATATATAGATAAGCTACGGTGACATCCCAGAACTTGGGAGAAATATCCAAGACCAGCGAGATACTCTGTTTTAGCAGCTGTTGAGTTAGCCCGGCAGCATCGGGTACTCAGTACAGCATGACTCTGAGCTGGTTAATTGCGGATGTGAGCAGCAGCTGCATCACTACACACTGAGCAACCCTCCTGCCGGGAAGCGGTACTGTCTAAGGGGCTGTCTAAAGTGGGGTGAATGCATGAGTCCAGGAATACACATGGCTCCGTTGTCTCTTCACTGACTGATGTCTCTAAAGTGCCTTATCGTCCATAATGGGTTTTCCCATCAATGAGCTCATTCCTTATCTTATTTGGCCCGAGTTCTTATTGCCCACACTATACAGATAAGAAAGTGGAGCATAAGGTTCTTAAATTTATTAGCCTAAACTCTCCAGAAATTCTCTCCAGAACTTAGATCATCTGACATTTTGTGTATTGAGGAGCTCTTTCCGAGATCACATTGTTCTCATACTATAGTCATTCAGCAGTACCTGCTAATATTTATTGAATATTAACTAAGGACATAGGATTATGCTAAGTACTTTATCTCATCTAACCATCAATCCTATGAGGTAGGTGCACTTGCTATTCCCCCATTACACCTAAAAAACGAATGTTCTGGTTAATTGAGTAACTTTCCCATCATTGCGTGGCTGTTAATGTCAACTGGAATTGAAATTCAGTCCATCTAATTCAAAAGTATGAAGACATTGTTTATCATCTTACCATCCTAATTGCTTAGAAATCAGTACTTTGCATAATATTACATCTTACTGTATATGCAATTGAGTCATGTTATTAAGTACTGCTGTGGTATTGTAACAATCCCCGTCATTCTTGTGACCTTGTTTCTGTAAATGCTGACTGACTGTTATGTAGCATGTAGATGAATACCATCCTATATAATAAAAGCCCAGTGACCGAATGGCGGAATGACCAGAACGACTGGTCGACCAGTTGCTATGACACACACTGACCACGAGGGGGCAGATGCTCAATGCAGGACCTGCCCCCTGGTGGTCAGTGCGTTACCACAGTGGGAGCTCCGCTCAGCTGACCGGGATGAGCGGCTGCTCCCCCTGTGAACCCTGGGCCGACAGGCAGGAACCTGGGCTGCGATCATTGCCTCCGCGCCCCAGGCTCTTCCCCCTCGCTCCCTGCCGCCTCCTCCGAATGCCTGCAGACTGTGTAGCGCTGCCACCGGACTCACAGAGCTGACCCCGGCGGCTGGGAGGCAAGTTCATGGCCTCCGTGGGACTGAGGCCTACTCCACCGCCTTTCAGTGCTATTGTCCCTAGGCCTGGCCCCGACCGGGTACCCTGGAGAGGCGAGTGCCTCTGGCTCTACGGAAAATGCTGAGCCAGGAAACAGCTGCTCAGAGGGCGGGTCCACAGTTGCTCAGCTGACTGGGATTAGCGGTCCCACAGCGGGCCGATCCCCGCAGGCCACGCCCCCCACTAGTGTGAATCCCATGCACCGGGCCTCTAGTGTTTGTATAAGCATCTTAGGCACTAACTCCAGAAGTTACAGACCCTGACCTTCAGTCCTCACAGCTCTAGGAGAATTGCTGACTTTCAGTCGTAGAACCAGGATGACAAAGACCGGGATGATGCACAGTAGACCATCATTTGACCAGTTTCAAGGTCCTTATGGGAATGGACTGTGCTGGCCTGCGCGTAGAGAACTTTTCGTACCCTCCCCTTGATCTCTTTGTTCTGCTTTCCCTCTCCCTCCTTATGGACGCCTCTGCCTGCACTGAGATGTTAAGATGGGCTTTGTGACAAGAGTCCCCCATCTTTTCAGGTGACCTGCACTTGAATAAACCTCTTTCCTTTTTCACCAGCCTCTGTCTCACAAGTTTGGCTTTCATGATGGCAGGCAGCCGAACCTAGGTTCTGGTAATAGTATTTAGAATGTTGTACAGAAAAATCAATTATTTATGAATCAATTATCAGTATCATCTTGTTGGGGATATTACCCCAGAAACCAATCCAGAGCTTGGTGGTACATGGTTTTTTTTCTCCCTGATCATAATTCTTCTTTCTGTGGTAGAACGTTCCTCTTCCTGTCTGACTTCTACTCATTCTTCAGGTCACAGTTTAAACAAAAAGTCCTCCCAGAAATGTGGGCCATGCCATTGAGTCATTTGCCTGAATTTCTGATTTAAGTGCATCTCATGGATGTGTTTAAATAGCATTCTACTTTGTGGTTTTCCAGCTGGTGGTAATATCAGTCAGGACAAACCCCCAAGTGTCTTCTCTAGTTGTAATTTCCCACTCTCTTACTGATTCAAACAACCCGAATCACTACCTTCTAACCACACCTTCTCAGATTTCACAGGTCAACAGCCCTAAGCCTTTAATTGAAGTAATTTCTCATAGGAGACCCAGGACACAGCTACTCCTACAGACTAATGAGATCACACGGTGGCCAAAATGCTGTCTCAATTTTTTAATAGTAATTTCCTGTAGCTCAAGGATTGGCAAACACTTTGCATTCAGGGCCAGACAGTAAATAGTTTAGGCCTGGAGAGCCCGTGCTGTAAGTCAGTCCTGCCCTTGCAGCTTGAAAAGCAGCACAGACGATACAGACGTGAACCCCATGGCTGGTCCGTACACTTCATCGTGAACATGGAGGCCTGAAGGTCATTTACTGTTCATGGGCCATGAAATACTCTTCTTCCACTTTTCCAATATGCTTTCCAACCATTTATAGCCTCGGACCTTCTCAGTCCATCGGCTGCACAGAACAAACCCCAGGCCAGAGTTGCTCACCTGCTCTGGGTGCTCAAGAAATGCCTGTATTTTTCTTGGTTGTGACCAATCCTGGGCTTAACCAGGAGAACGTTCTCTAAGAAGCAGCTGCGTGAGTCTTTACGATCCTGGGTATTTCACATGGATGTCCTGGCATATTTTCAGACATGTTTCTCCAATCCTGCCCATGAGAGAGATGAAGTACAGCGTTGGGGGTCCCCTCCGTGACACACCCTCATCCATAGCTCCTCAGCTGCCGTGGGACTCGCCGCCCTGTCTAGTCCAGTCGCAGACCATGCTCCCTCCCACACAGAGCTGCTGCCACCATGGAAACACTGAATCGTCTGCTGCGATTACCCAGCTACCACCTTACGCTTTCCAAACTAGACAGGAGCAAAGTTAACTCTGCTTTGCAGTGGCGCACATTCACGGGCACTGCTTCCCACTTTCAGGAGGGCGGTGGCCATGGTTCAGTGCTAACAGTGGGTGGTGTGGATAAACCAGCACGTCTGTACTTTATTATGAACCCTACATCCAACAGAACGCTGAGGTGCTATTACTTACATTATTTTGTTATGGTTTGAGATCAAAAAGGAAAGTGTGAGTGAGTTTTGTGAAATAAAGTGGTAACTTAGGTGACCATTCGTTTGAGGAATTCTCACGTAGATGTTTCTGTTGCTTTTTGGACTCTGAAGCATTAAGGCATGAAAGATTCATGTTGGCAATTTGCTCAGAGAGTTTCATCATCACGGACTTTGAGGTGATGAAATGCACCCAGGCCCTAAGTCCATGCCCGGTGGTTCCCTGTCAGGCCCGCACCCAGGTTGTGGGTTCCGTCCCCAGTAGGGGCTCCTCTGGGAGGCAAGGGAACAATGTTACTCTCTCACATCCATGTTTCTTACTCTCTCTCTCTCCCCCCCCCTCCCTTCCTCTCTAAAATAAAATAATAATTATGATAAAAAATGTTTTTTAAAATTTGTCAGTTGAAATTATAATAAATTGTAAGAAAAAAGTTTATTTAAACTTGTAAGCAATTACATTGGACTGCAGTGAGGAGATCACCACAGGTAAGTGACCTACGTGTTTGGAACTACGTGCCCAAGGTCATCCTAGGACGGCTGTGAAAATGGTCCCGACCTGCTGGGCCCCGATGGGTCCTGAGGACACCCAGCGTCTCTGGACTGCACTCCGAAAGTCGCTGCGGCCCATTGATTCCATTGTCACTTTATAATATAGACCAGTGGTTCTCAACCTTCTGGCCCTTTAAATACAGTTCCTCATGTTGTGACCCAACCATAAAATGATTTTCGTTGCTACTTCATAACTGTAATGTTGCTACTGTTATGAATCGTCATGTAAATATCTGATATGCAAGATGGTCTTAGGTGACCCCTGTGAAAGGGTCGTTTGACTGCCAAAGGGGTCGCGTCCCACAGGTAGAGAACCGCTGAATAGACCTCACAGACTGTGTTCATGCGGGAGAACGTTTTCATGACAATTCGTGCACCAAGGATGTGTTTGCTTCTTTTCAAAGGGCCCGTCCTGCTGGGACGACGTCCTGATCCCGAAGCGGATGAGGGGCGAGTGCCAGTCGCCAGGCTGCCCCGGGACAAGCGCGGTAAGTACCTGCCACTCCCCGTCTGTCAGGGTGGCATCTCCCATGTTCACGAGGAAATGACCCAAGAGACGAACATGCCGGCTTTTCTCCCATCCGATAACATTCGCCAAAAGTGGTGCAAGATTCGGAAGTGTCTCACATTCACCCAAACGTCTCCGTGTCACTGCCTTCCAGGGTCACCTTTCTAGGGACCGCGCCGCTCTGGGTGACTATGGCAGAACGCGACAAGTTGACTCCTTACAGCAGTGGTTCTCAACCTTCCTAATGCCGCGACCCTTTAATACAGTTCCTGCCATTTTGAGAGAGAAATGTGACTGACTCCCTGAGGGTGTGAGCTCCAGCAGCTCAGAAAGGACAGGGCCGACTAACAGCCAGCGGACCGGTCACCCCCCTGAGCACTGGCCCCCAACCCCGCCAATGAGGACACCCCACGTTTCCAGCGCGTTTGCAACCCCTGATCGTGTTCCAGGGCACGAAGGCATTTAAACATCACTAACCAACACATAGCCATGAGAAGTCTCTTAAACTTGGAAATTCAATCACATAGTCCAGTGGTTCTCAACCTTCCTAATGCCGCGACCCTTTAATACAGTTCCTCATGTTGTGGTGACCCCCAATTTCATTGTTACAAATTGAACATAATTAAAGCATAGTGATTAATCACAAAAACAATATGTAATTATATATGTGTTTTCCGATGGTCTTAGGCGACCCCTGTGAAAGGGTTGTTCGACCCCCACAGGGGTCGCGACCCACAGGTTGAGAACCGCTGACTTAGTCAATAAATAGCCACGTGGAACTATGGGATTAAGCAATGATGAAAAGGTACCACACATCAGTTCCTTTGGGAGGCACCTGAATTAGTTTTTAGAGGGAGTATTTAATATCACAAATGCTATTTAATTAAAAAGAGGATAACATTATTTAAACATAAGATAGAAAAAGAAATGGTCACATCCAACTCTGTTCCCCACGTCTAATGAGCCTGACGAAACGCTGGTGGGATACAGGCGGTGCGCGCACACTCCTGGGGCGGGGCGGGGGGCCGGTGCGGACGGACATGAATTCCGCAGTTGCTGCTCTCGGAGCCTCTTCTGGAGCGTGTGGAGGGCAACTACCTGCACGCCAGGCTCCTGTGCGGGGGGTGCTCCTTCCTGAAGGAGGTGCGAAGATAGGCACTTTTAAGTCTTTTATCTTACTTAAGTTTGCCAGGTATTTGAATTTTAGACAGTATTTTTGACATGATATGTTATATTCTCATAAAAAAGTGTAATTTCTATGACTTGTATAAATATCCATATACTTAAAATTCAAAAGAGCAGGTTTTCCAGTGTAGTCTTAATTAATATTTATGTACTTAGATACTCTCACCAGCTCATTTGAAACAGCAGTGCCATTTAACCTTGGTGTTGAGAGTACAAATATAAGCTTGACCTTCACACAGAGAAACTGAACCCCATCCGGTTCACACTAATTGGTGTCATCGTAGGACAGCACAGCATTGGTTCTGAAAGGCGTCTCACTTTATGAAAAGAACTTTTTGGTCAATTCAAAGAGTATGGGCTTGAGGTTAAAAGGGGGGAAGTCAATAGGATATTCTCCATTAGGGAGATTAATTCAACTTTGGAAATGATGTAAAACTACATTTTCTGTGTAAATCTTCATTTTATATTTTGCCTACAATACCTTAGACCAGGGGTCCTCAAACTTTTTAAACAGGGGGCCAGTTCACTGTCCCTCAGACCGTTGGAGGGCCGGACTAGAGTTTAAAAAAAAACTATGAACAAATTCCTAGGCACACTGCACATATCTTATTTTGTAGTAAAAAAAACAAAACGGGAACAAATACAATATTTGTATTTGCATGTGGCCCGCGGGCCGTAGTTTGAGGACCCCTGCCTTAGACAATGAAGATCTTTGTGTCTGTACATATGCTAGGGGGAGGGAGTGTTATTTTTTTATTTGCACACAGAGGCCAGGGCAAACCCAGAAATCCTCCTCTCTGGGCCTTATTCCTAAATTCCACATCATATCTTTAAAAAATATTTTTATTGATTTCAGAGAGGAAGGGAGAGGGAGAGATGGAAACATCCATGATGCAAGAGGACCATCCATCGGCTGCTTCCATTTACCACTCTTCACAGTAATCCATGGCCACGGTCACCCTTGCTGAGGGGTGTCGGTGTTACTATTTCACAATCAATAGCATAAATCACAGTTTATATTTTGAGAAGTAATATTTACCAGAAGTGCCATGTAAAATGACATTTTCTTTTTTAGATTACTTGATTTTGACAGGAGTCGGAGTCTTTACATAGAACTTTTTCTTGTCGGAAACAGTTGAGAAGGGCCTCTTAAAATAGCTCACTGATTTATTTCAAATAAAATTAGATTCTAAAAACTATCCCCTGAACTATAATCTATACTAATAAAAGGGTAATATGCTAATTAGACCAGACATCTTCCGGATGTCCTTCCGGACAAAGCCACGATGGCGGGGGCCGAGGCATAGGTAGTTAGGGGCAATCAGGCCGGCAGGTGAGTGGTTAGGGGGTGATCAGGCCGGCAGGCAGAGACAGGGACAATCAGGCTGGCAGGGGAGCAGTTAGGGACATCAGGCCGCCAGGCAGCATGATTAGGGGCGATCAGGCAGGCAGGCAGGCAAACGGTTAGGAGCCAGTGGTCCCAGATTGCGAGAGGGATATCTGACTGGCAGTCGGACATCCCCCAAGGGGTCCCGGATTGGAGAGGGTGCAGGCCGGGCTGAGGGACTCCCCGCCCCCCCCCACCCGGCCTCGTGTACAAATTTTGTGCACCGGGCCTCTAGTAAATAGCATAATTAGTAAACTCAATACAATAAATGCAGAGCTCCCATCTCGCTCCCCATGCGGCTTATCTCCCTCCTGGGCCGCAGCGGGCTGGGTCCTGCCCCGGAACATCGGTCGAAGGGAGTCATACTCGGGTCTGTATCTCAGATGCATCCCCTCGGGAGATGCTGACTAAAATGACACGCATAGCAAGTGAGAGGCACCCACGGGAAACCACCGTTACTTATAAGGCACTTGCTTATTTTATGTCCCAAAGCTCCTCGTCAGTGTTTCCGTTTCGTGGCGCTGCTTTCCCCGGGGCCTGCGTTTCTCCTGGTGGTTTTTATTGTCCTTTTAGACTTTATGAGACTCTCACCCAGTGCGACTCGGGACCCTCAGGGTGGCTTCCTGGGTGCACGCCCTGTTCTCGCTTGACCCCGCATCCAACCACAGGCACAGGCTGCTGTGTCCTGCGTGGAAGAGAAGACCTCAGGTGACCAGGCGTCCGCGCGACAGCACAAACGACAGCTTCACTGGCAGGACGGAGAGCAGCCTTGGGCTCTGCTCCATACGGCTATGCCCACATGCACTGCCCAGGAGCCAACATGGGCACGGGCGCCTCCCGGTTCGCATGGAGCAGTCCCAGCCTCCTGGCTTCCGGGGGCCCGAGGGCAGCTGACAGCTCGGGTGAAGGGTGGAAGCGGAAGTGAGAGAGGGGTGACACCTCTGCTCCCCCCTGGTCTGCCCTGGGGTTCGGCCGAAGGGAACTGGTCCCCCGCCCACCCTGGCCCCCCAGCCCTGCTTTCTAACCTCCAAGTAAAATCTCACGGTGCAGCTCTGAGGTCCTGCTCAGATTATGATGGAACGGTGCCGACGGGAGACAAAATGCTCTGTTGTCTGACATGCAATTTGGGTGACAAACTAGAAACTTCTTATGTCATTTTTCAAAAACCAATCAGCTATTCAGGCTCAAGGACAGTTCACTGCTAAACTAAGTTTTAAGCACTTGGTAACAAAAAGTGTCATTTTTTAAAAAAATTAAGTCACAAAAATATAAATAAATAAAATTAAGTCCCGAATTACAGAATCAGTTAAAATTTTGCATATTTAAGCAAAACATTTAAACATGCTTACATTTAAAAATAAATTATTCTATTAGGAAAAAAGGTGTCAGTTGTTAAGAGTGCTGAAGAAATCGAGACAGAGTTGAAGAACCGGGGTATTTGTGAGGCTCTGAAGCCGAGACTCAATGCAGATGAGATGTTTCTGTGACATCACCCCTTCTACTAGTCGCTGGCTCTTCCACACCTCGGGGAAGTGAGCCGCAGCCACCCTCCTCGGTGTTGTGAGTGACTCCCACCTGTTGTCTGAAACGCCTCTCTCGGGAGGGGACCCGGTGCCGGAACTCAGTGCAGGTGCAGCGAGCACCCGGGTGGACCGGGGACAGCACACACTGTGCCCGCAAACAGGGCCTGGTTTAGTGGGTGACGCCACTTTGCAAGCCAATGTGCCGTTTCCATGGTATATTTTTAAATGTTGAAACGAGTTCTCTGATCCGCCATCGCCAGAAACTGCTGCTCCGCGTGCATTGTTCACTGCGACCTGTGACTCTCTGCGCTATAATCGGCCTGATTTTGTATCCGCCAGGAGAGAATCCTGCAGATGACCACACGCCGCTTAGAACCAGCAATTCAAACCTGTTTGTTATTCCCAGAGGCCGAGAAGTCACCTCTTAATTTTTTGTCTTCTCGTCGACTGATCCCACAGCAGCTCTGTGCTGAGAGTCGGTGCCAGCCCCCTGCCCCGTGGTGTGGGGGCAGCGTGAAGCGAACTGAGGGCCACTTCCCACTGCGACCTGGTGACCCAACCAGATGGTGACGGGCGGGGAGCGCGTACAGTGTGGAGGCCGGGACAAAGGGGTGATTCACCTCCCGGGGGGTCGGAGCAGAGATGCAGAGACTCCACGCTGCTCGGAAGGGCACGCGATGTAAACTGGAGAATTGCTCATTTGTGGGATTTCCCATTTACTGTTTCCAGGCCATGGTTGACTGGGCCACTGAGAGCGCAGATCAGGGACAACGTATTTTCCTTTTTCCTTGGAGTCACCTCATGTCCTCCGTCTCACCCGCCCTATACAATGGGCTGTTTCCATCAGGCAAAGACCCACTTCCCCGGGCGCTTCTACCACCGAGG